GCGCATTCGGAGCAATGACGCTTCGTCCTCAGGCACACAGGCACGGCGGGATGGAGAGCTCCTGTGCTCTTTTTGTTCTCCTTGGTCTAAATTTAGCACCGGTCGCATTGTGACTGAGCCGCTTCTAGCCACGTTCAGGCTGAGTGAAATAACCGAGGTGTCCGAAGCCACCCGGTTTGATGGCGGCGCAAAGCGGTGAGCGCCACAGAGCAGGAACCGCCTCAGGCGGACGGCGCCCCGGCCCACAGCTCCGAGCGCCTGTGGGCACCTCACGGCGCCGAGCGCTCCGCGCGACGGATGGCAACATCTCAAACATCCTAAAGTAGAGCTCTATTTTTGTCAGTGTGGTCAAAGCACTTAGGCATCACAGGGGGCACAATGTGCCTTTTTAAGACCTTTCTATAAAGAAGGGTTATTTACTAAAAGCACAGCACATGGGGCTCTGTATGCAGACATAAATTCACAGTAGCAGAATTGAAAGGAGAATTTGGACAGCTCCATATATACATACATATACATCTATATATATACACGTATGTGTACGTGTATGCATTATATATTTATATATATATAGAAAGACATTCTACTTGCTAAATCAGAATTTGAGGAAGAAGTTTTGATTTTAATATTTGAATGGTTCCCTTTCTGTTAGGTACCCCGGCTCAGGTATTTCTTATGCTGCCTTGTGCCAATTACACAGGCAAACAGTGCAGTTAGTCCCAGCCCTCCCCTGCAGCCCTCCGTCCCGCCTGCTGCTCTGCAACACGGGACAAGGGCAGGTATCTTGAAAGCATTCCTGATTCCTCCTCTCTCCCGTGTTTCCAAGCGTGTTTAGAAAAGGGCCAAGCACCAAGATGTGGGCTAAATGGTTGTCTCGCTTCCTGTTTCTCCTAGCCCCACGCTTCCACTGCTTCTTTTCAATTCTGGGGCTCAGCAGGTGCTTCTCAGAGTCAGCACAACCTGCTCATTGGGCAGAAAATTAACCTAGAGGTGGATATGTCAGGAAAGGAGAGTTTTCTAAAAGATTTGAGAGCTGAACTGGCTCATGTGGGGGTAAGACTGGCATGGGACTGAGCAGCAAGACCCTTTGGTGCAAGCTTGAGGAACTCTGGCAAGTCTCGATTCTTTTAAGTATCTTCCGTCACTCATGTAGGGCACACAAATATACTGGAAAACTATTTGACAGCACAAGCTGCACAAGTCCTCTGAGCAGTGACAACAAGAGAGAGGTTTAAGACAGGAGACTAACAGGTTTCTGTAGAAAAGCAGTGAGGTGAGTACTCTAGAAACACCACTATTTTGTAGATGTGCATACAAAAGCTCTCAAAAGAGCAGTAAAGTTTTTAAAGCTCTCAAAAACAAACACACTTTCTAAGGTTAAGCAACTTAAAGCTTGGTTTGAAAAGCAATAGTCAAAATGGCTGGGTATGAGTACTTCATAATCATTGATTCCAACTCCGTGATAAAGCTGTCTGTAAAGAATGTCCTTCCAATTCATTCTGGGGTTGATTTTTCAAGCTTGCAAATCACTGCAATAAAGACCTCACAGCTGGAATTCAAGGAACATCTGTCAACAACACAGATCTGAACAGACTGCAGCTCACTGCTACAGATGTACTGGCTTTGCAGGACAACCTCTGCCAAAAGCTCCTTTCATCCAGGAAATCAAGCAGCCTGAGCGCTGAACAAAGACAAGCGAGCAGGGACTAGTTACTGTTACAAGCAGAAATGCACTGAGGAATCTGGAAATACTCACAGAGGACAAAAGACAACAATGTGGTAGCCGTTAATTTCTGCCTATCACAAGGCACAATATGCCAGAATGCAACAGCCAACAGGAAAGGAATTAGCTTGTGTGCTGTACACTAGAGAGACAGAAAATATCCTGTTTCAGTATCAGAGGCTGCAGTGCCCTTATCCATAATCCCTGTAGCACGTGCTGCCTCCAAGCACCATGCTCAGCTCCACCTCCACTGCCCTCCCACAGACCACATGCCCACAGGAACCAGACCCTTAGAGAGGGATCCAAAGAACATCCTCTATCTCAGGTGTTGTCACCTAATGTGCCATTTTAAAAGATCCAAAGAAACGTGACCAAATGCTATAGCTGGGGCTGTTCAACATTCATGTGATACCTGGGCTGCAACAAAACAGAATGGATTGCTCAGAGACGTACAGTTCGTAGTTTTGATCTTCTGTCTCTTGCTGCACTGACAGCTCCTCCAAAGTTGCATCAATATCCAGCTGATTCGTCTCCAGCTGCCGTAGCAACGTCTCCCTCTGAGGAAAGGAAAAGAAGCTGGGTCTGAGCAGGAGGGCTCGTTGTAACAGATCTCTGTGTGCTGCAGGGTGCAGCGAGATCTTGTGTCGCCACTCGACCCACAGCAATGAATTAAACAGGAGCTTTGGCCCAAGGAAAGGAGTTCGGCTTAGGTACAGAAGCACAACGGAAAGCAGAAGCAATAACAAAAACATGTTAACCCAGAAAATAAGGGTGTAAGAAAGCAACCTGTTTGGAGAGCTGTGCTATATTGGGACACAAATAACAATGTGATTCTCAGACCCAAGATCTCTAGATTTGTTTGGAGAACAACTTCACAATTGCTCTCTGCAGTAGTTGGCACCATTTCAATTCTGAGCTTCTATTTTTTTCCTAGAGATAAAGGAGTCTAATGGGGAGCAGGACCCAGCTGACTCTGGACCTCACAACTGTTTTCTTTCTAATGGCAGAGGCTGAGGAGTCACCACAGTCTTACCAGTTCCGTGCAATTTTAAAAGCTACTGCCCTCAGCCTCCAGTTACTGCCTCAGAGACCCCAGTCCATTTCAAATGTGAAATGAAAAGTGTTAGCTTCACTCACAGAAAAGTGTGGCTTAATCTGGTCCTTCATGTCCCACATTTCCAAAGGTTTCCGAACAGGCACTTCAACGGAGGGGTTGTGAGGTCTTAAAAGGCTCTAAATCAATTGTAAACAGCCCTCAGCCCACCCTCCTGGCCAGTTCAGCTGGCAGCAATAAGAGATCAGCCACCACGCAGGTTACCTCCGAGGCCGCACGGCTACGAGAGCTCCAAGGGGCTCCCCTGTGGCGTCCCCGCAAGGACAGTGCCGCCAGCACGGCCCGTGCCCTCCTCCTGCACAGCAGGGACCCGCGTGCCCTGCGATGCCGAAGCGCAGAGCCGTTCCCACAGGAACACAGCTCAGGCCCACGGCCAGCACTAACCCCTTCTGTTTGCAAGGCCCCGCTCAGCGGTAGGGGGCTCCTCTGCCACAGCCCCTTCACGTCTCCTCAGAAGGCCCCACCACTCTCCCAGCTGGACACTGGCATGGGACAGAGGTGGCCTCGGTGCGAACGGCCACCCCAGCACGCCGATGCTCCGCTTGCCATCCCAGCACGGCTCCGAGCCCTGAACACAGGAGTCCATTCCCACCCCAAATTCAGGACTCCTCAGTCATGATGCTCAAGGGAAGCGTCAGCCCTCCCTCTGCCCCTGACTGCAGGCTGCATCCCATGGGAAACACGGGAAAATTGACTCATCCTCAGCACTGCTCTGCTGAACTCCCCTTCCATGATAGCTACTTCGGGAAGTTTGGCAGCAATAGCCAAGGTCAACTATTAATTACACGTATGAGAACACGCATGCTCATTGCAAAAAAAAAGAAAAAAAAAAAAAGCCTGTTAGACTAAGACACACAAAACCACTCCATTATTTACCAAAGAAAATCCTTATGGGAAAACAAACATTTGGATAAAGGAACAGAGTGTTGTTCCTGTGCTAGGTGCAATATGGCAACCTATGGCAATATGGCACACACATGACAACTTTGGAGCTATAGAAAAAGGAAAATAACTTTAAACCCAGCTAACTCATGTGCATTATATAAACCACATCAGGCTCTCCAAGGGAGTAAGTAGATAGAGCATAGCTTGAACTTTCTACAGAGCGCGCTGATTTACACCAGATTCCACCATGATATAAATCAGCAAGCAAGCTTTACATAATTTTTATTTTGTATTACACTTTTAAGATCAGATTCATTGATAACTGTTAACACATGCTAATTCAAAGGCAGCTACAGCCTCTCTCAAAATGCAAGTATTTCTGTGATCATTTAAGCTAATTTATAGCTTAGGAGGCGTTCGGCTTCTTCATTTTCAAACTGTTCATTGTGTTTCATCATGTACAGAGCGTGAAGTGACCCATTTTTCCTTTGCTAGGCAATATTTATTCATCAAATTCATAAGCTCTATGCAGGTGCAAATTTGAATTACAGCACACACAAAGAATTATGAAGTCCTTAGCTAACTCAAACTCCCTTTATTGTTGTATACAGATGAGAAATTGCAGCAAAACATTTAAACATTAAACATTTAAACTTGTTTAATTGAAGGGAAGCACTAATGCGTAGTTAGTGATTTTAAAGTATTGTTTTATGGTCCCTGTATCTGTTGACATTTCAGAATAGGTTTCACTCTTTTTATATTTTATTCATAAAATGGAAGCAGAAACCAGAGAAAAAAAGGCACATTTTCTACTGCTTTGTCCTCAATCAGTTTGCAAATAAAAGTGAAATAAATGCTGATCAAATTAGTTAAATAAACAGAAACAGAGGGGAGACTGCTCTCAAATGCTGATCTTGGAGACCTAGATAGAGGTTTTTTTATCAAGCAAGTGGTTTGCCTTCCCTTGTGCTTTGGTAGCAAGACATGAACTAATCAGTGTTACTTTTCACAGATCACAATTAATCTGGAGCCTGGATCCAACTGTGAGTAGGATGTATCTGACTTGGCACAAAAATTAGCACTAAAAATGGACTGAAACATCATTTTTAAAACCCATTTTTGACATGCTGATATTAAAATATTAAAGAAACACCTTATTTTTAGCAATGGCCCAAAAGAACAGAGAAAATCCCATGCCGCCAAGCAGCGCTCTGGCTGAATGCTGCTTCCAAACGCTCTCTGGGAAAAGGCCATTCCAGAAGGCCAGCAGAATTGGCTCCACAGCGAAGGCCCCTGCAGAGCTGCTGACCCACCACGCTGGCACCTTACACGGGCCACCAGCAACACCCTGGGCTTTCTCGGGTCTGCGAATCCCCCCCTGCTAACGAGCTGGTAAATAATTGAGTAGCTGGGCGGCTGCGGGGATGGCTCCATGCCGGAGGGATGGATTTCACCCTCAGTGAAAGATGCAAGAGCCTAAGACGCACGCAGCGAGGTGCAACTTCCAACCGCGGCACTGCCGAAGGACACGGTGCCATCTCACACACTGCCAGCAGCTCCACTGCCCCGAGAGCTGCAGCAGACGGAGCTGAGAAACACAGAGAAACTGCAGAAATGGGGTGAGACTGCCTGAACCCTACGTGCATTTAACAGCACGCAGAGGCCCTCTCCCTTAGCCTTACTTTGCGCAAAGTGTTAGGCAAACGACTCCTTTTGGGGGCACCCTCCTTCGGAGGTATGATCCACTTCCTCACAGAATTGGATCCAGTTGTGTGTTTCCTACACATTTTAACTTGCTGCTCTGCTTGGTAGTAAGGCCCAGCGAGGCAGCTCTGCCTCCCTGCGCATTCAGAGGCAACGCTCCCAGCTGCGACGGGAGCTGCAACATGCCCAGAGCCACCAAACCAGCAGCTACAGAATAGCCCTGAGCACTTCTAATAAATCTACACCAAAAACGCACGTGGCACTGGAGAAATAGGGCAATTTGGTTGAAGTCTGACAGCAAGTAGAGCTTCTACAGCCTGGCTGGAAGCAGCTGATGGTCTCCAAATTGCTGTCTTTCTCCTCAGAAAATGGCAAGGGCAGACACTTGCTTCCTCTCAGAGGGAATCATCTTCGTATCTGATCCTATCCTGTGATTTTAAACAGAATGTATGGAAAAGCACCTGCCTGAAACCCAGGTTATCAGAGCTGCAGGAATTAGTTTGGGCTCCACTGTTTTAAAGCAAACACCAGACAGCTCCATTTGGTCTCCTCTTGAATGTTGGGCATGGGACAAGCTCATCAACTGCCGCCTTTTCTGTCACGACACCAGCACAGCACAAACATTTACAGGTGTCCACCCCAACTGCCTCTTGCACATCATGGGGACTGAACGGTTCCTTGGAAACTCTTTTCAGTTTTCTGTTCTGAAGGGCCAATCCTGTCTGTGGCAACTGCACCTTGTGTTTTGCACCACCTCCACCGCCACCTCCAACGCCCACGGGACAGGAGAATAAACACAGGTTGGTCACCCCACCTCCCGCATGTCCCCAAGCAGCAGTCACTGGATATTCCCAACAACTAAAGGTTACATCGGATTTATTTTCTGCCGTTCCTCACGCCCAAGATTTGTCTGAGAAATTCTCTGGCTTTGGGGCTGATTATCTTATCTGAAGGACACCACTAGCAGTTTTTAGACTGGTACATCTTGTTTAATTATTCACTGCACATTTCAGTGAAAGGTCACCTAAGAATCTCCTCCTAAAGCTGTTCCCAAACAAACCTAGAACCACAAATGCCTCAGTATTTCCTGCTTATGATTATATTTAGGAAAATCATTGCATATATTGACCCTTAACAGTATCGCTGTAAGCAGCTTTCAGACACAAGTCTGCCAGGAAGTCTGTACTAATTTCTTTGTCTCCTCTCAACATCTTCCAGAGAAGAAAGATCTACAAATCTGAAATGTCAGTTGTAACCTGGAAACTAATTATTCTGCACAATTTCTACAAAACACCACTTTGCCATAGGTACTGAAATTGTAAACCAACTATGTGACCAACACCACCCTGGTAGATTTATGGTTTCTCCACTAAGCAATAAGCTGGGTTTAAATGTCAGGTTTCTACAGCTTCCTCCTCCAAAAATCATTTGATTTGCTTCACTAGGTTGCTGCACTCTAAGGTTTCTTACCTTAGTGCATTTTAATGCATCCGCTCTGCAGACCAAAGATGTGGTCAGATCCACTAACATACACGAGCTTATTCTGAACTAGTATTTCAGCAAGGATTATTCATACAAAAATACACACAGACATTTCACTTTCTAGTGAAAGACAACCCAGGCCAACTGCCTGATCTTTTCATGCAATGAAAACCCATGGTACAGAAGTACAGCCCCTCACAACTCTCCCTAGCCCCTCTGAAGGGCCACGGCTACAAATTTCACCCTTTCTTGCCCACTGAGCTTCTGCATCTTCGCTCATCCCACCAAAAGGAAGCTCAATTGTATAAGAGAAATCTGAGACTTGAATCTATGTGTACAGGATCCAAGCAGATCAGTTACCATCCATCTCAGGGTAATGTTTTCAGCAAACTGTTGTCTCTGAGCTGTTCATCTTGTTAGCAAGTCTTTTCTTAAGTGAGTTTTAAATGACTAGTAACATGAAATTTAAATATAGACTTTAATATATATGTGGATGTAACATGTTGGTCCACAGCACTGAATGCAGTTCTCTTGCCCATGGTATTTATTGCTTTGGAGACTTTCCACAGAGGTGGGCATTTGTGAACACAGTGAAGAGCAGCCCTTGCACAAGCAGACACATGTCTAAGTCACAGATTCAATGCTTTAATATAATTTTGTTGACTACACATTCATGAAAAGAAAAATCTATTCAGGATCCTTTAAAATTCATAATAATAAAATATATTTATATATAAAATATCAAATTCCCACCTTAGAAACAGGGAAGATGAACTCCTTCCCACCCACCCATCCTCAGGGATATCCTCTTTTGCTTACCTGCAGCTGCAAGAAGGGGATGTTGAAGAACTTGTGCAGGTACTTGAGGCCAAAGCTGTTCTTCATGGAAGACTCAGCATACCGAAAATATGAGGAGCCAGGTGGCCTGTCTCAAACAGATAGGTATGGAGAAGAAAATTGTACATAGGACATGGACTGCACACAACCACGTGATGAATTATGCACCAGGAGCAATCCACATCCCCAAGCCAGCCCCCCAGCCCTAGCTGTAGGCTGACAAGGCCTTCTGCTAGGGACTGCTCCTTCTGTTTACAAAGAAAATGCAGATCCTGCTCCTCCTGAAAGGTGGCAGAAAAAGCTGGAACGAAGCTGCTGCTGTTCAGGGCTATACAGGGACATTTCTCAGTAAAGATTTTGTTTTAATATCACAAACAGACCTAAATTAAGTCACCTATTCAAGCACGGGCATTGGGAATTAAACTTGCCATGTACAGAAATAAACTTGTAAAGAAATGACATTACTAAATCGAGCCTTAAAACAGATGCCATTTGTGTGTGCCTGATACACGCATGAACAAGCAAGAGACTTTAAAAAAAAATGCCTTATAACCATACATTTAAAACCATAAAGCAAAAGAGGTACAATCTAATAAATCCTGATCAATAAATCATATTTAAAATTAAATAGTAGAGAGCTTCAGATCCCAATTTTAGGGAAAATATTGCTGGGTTGGCCAGGGAGGAGAATGGTTTGGCTGCGCCCAGTGACTGTTGCAAGAAGATGCTCTCAGAGGAAAGGGAGGATCACAGCTGCCCTCGATGGCTGCCTTGCAGCAGGACTGTGTAGAGAACAGCTGGGTTTCAGGGAGATTCTTTTGCAACACAAGGACTATCCCAAAAGAACATGATCTCTTGGGCAAAGCAGCTCTGCAAAGCACGTGCTGGCAGGCACTAGGTGGGATGAATGTGATGCACGTCAGAACCACAGCAGTGGTAACGTTTTTTTTGTGGTTTCTGACCGAGAGCAGCTCCCCGTTCGGGATGGTGGTGCCACCCTCGGGTACCTGTTCAGGTTGTCGATGAAGTCTCGCACGTCGCCAGGCAGAATGACCCGGTGCTCCCCCATGTCACGGTAATTCCCAAGCACGCACACCGGGACGTGGGTCGGCACTTTGGGAAGTTCCCTCAGGATGTAGTTAAACGTCCTGCACCAGAGGAGAGCCAGACAGAAGCAAATGGGGAAGAAACAGATCATTCTGTGAGCAGCTTCATCGCACGAAACCACAGAAGAAAAAAAAAAAACAGAATTAGAAAAGAATTTCAGAAATCTTTCCAAGACTGTTGCTTCTTTGCCCCTCTCAGAAGAATACATTAACTGTAAATATGATTATTCCATTCTTTATTGAAAGGCAACTGAAGCTCAGTGCTTCACTGCTACTAGAGACCCAGCACCTCCTGCCATAGTCTTTCTCCCAGACCTCTCCCATGAGGAGGGCAGCACATGCTGCGGATGCTTGCCCCTTGGACAGAGCTGCTGACAACAGGCTCACTGGCCCGTGAGCAAACCAGCAAAACACAAGCTCAGATATAAAGAGGCAGCCACTCCCTAACCTCCCTCTGGCTTCTATACGTTCCCCATCCTCCCCACCAGAGACACAAAATGAATCGCTCATTATTTCTATATATTTATGCAATTTATGGCCTCTAAATAATCCATGGCAGCACCTGTCTTCTTGGGAATTTCCCCACTGCTCACTAGTCCTTCCCTTTCCCTTCTGCTCTGTCAAGCTGGGGATTTGCACCATGCCCAGCGCACTCTGCATCTGCAACAGGGCTAATTATCGGGTCTCAGCAGCGGAGTAGCAGGAGCTGCAGGCCACAGTCTCCCAGGGAAACTGCTTGTTCAAAACATGCCCAAGACATGCCAGAAGATAAAGCTGTTAGCTTAAGTGGTACAAAACCAGCTTCGGAGGCCAGCAAGAAATTTCAAGAGGCTTTTTTTGTGTGTGTGGTTAAGCACAGGAGAGCCGGATTGCCCACGAGCCAGGTGATGTCTCACCACTGTTTGGTGATGTCAAACATCATCACGACACCATTGCAGTTCTTATAGACGTCCAGGAACTCTGCGTCCAGAGCCATTTCTGATTCTGCCTGAGGAAATAAAGGCAAAAGAAGCAGTAAGTAACTTGGCTCAGCTTCAGACTTGCACAGAACACCATGAATACAGTGTTGAATAGGCAAAATTTCTAAAGCAACACCACTATAAAAGGTATCAGTGTATTTCACATCATTATCATTTAAACAATGTGGCTTGCGGGTTCACTCCCTGCAGGAACAGGATGTGAAAGACGTGAAATTCTCTGGAAAAAAACCCACCTCTCTAATTGCTACAACCCACCCTTGCTCTTTCCTCCATGACACCAAGTATTTTCTTGACAACGTAACTCCACATACAGCTAGAGGACACCGCAGAGAGCACACAGCACTCGCTCCCTCCGCGGACACCAATATTGACTCTGCTCTGAATGCTTCCGACCCATAAAGCCAAGGTTTCCTTTCTAATGAGTTTCTCTGTACCTAAAAACATTTAGCAGCTGACTTTGCTTTTCATCATTTGCAATTTTGCAAAATTCAATCCTGGTCCCTCATCTACAAGGCTCCTGCTTTTTGGTGCCCATGGAACAGCACTCCTCCCTTTCCCCCGAGTGAGAAACGCACCCGTGTTTGCGAAGGGGGAGGCAACGGTGCGATAACTGCTCTTACTGTTGCCTTTTACTGCCCACAGCAGGAGAATGTTTTTAAAGAAAATTCTCCTCATCTGACCCCACACATCGAGGAGGACTTGCCCCTTGGACAGAGCCATGCTCACTGCCCAGAACAGGCCCTGGAAGAGGGGTGCTCAGCAGGGTGCGCAGGAGCGGCGCTGGCTCTGCTTCCGCGCGGGGCCCAGCCTGTCGACCCCGACAAAGCGCTCGAGTGAGCGCCGAGCCCCGGCACGCGGCGCCGCGGCCGAGCGGTAACGCTCTGGGGTAGCTGCACCAGAAACCCCCTGATCGAGGGCCTTCACGCTGGCTTTTCCTGAGGATAAAACAGCACAGCTCTGCAAGAAGCACTATGGAAATGCATCAGCAGCTCAAATGCAATCTGGGAAACGTGGCAGGCAGGTCTCCCTCACGGCACTCTGTCCCATGGCAGAACCACCATAGGACACACCTTTGTGCAGGAGCTGTGAGGAACCACTGCTTACTCTGACATACTGCACGGCACCTCAGTTGCCCCTTCATCTTCTGCCTTCCAGAGAGTGTTAAACGGTAATTGTTACACTAGTTTTAAGCAGCAGCTGGAGAACATGGCTTTAATTTGTTCAAAGCTCATGGCAAATCCTTTACAAAGGGACCTCCTGACCCTGCTCACGCACAAGCAGGCACAGAACTACAGTGCAAGTATCTGGGGTGCCTCATTCCCAGCAAACCAAATGGAAAACAGCAGGAGAGCAGTGGGGAGGGCATGGACAGAGAGATAAAACAGACAGGCAACGGCGCAAGAACCACATGGGAGCTCCCTGCGCTTGCCCAGCAGAACCCATCAACCAAAGAGCACGGAGAGGCCTCCCCTTAAGAGGGCAACACCTGCACTCAAGGCAACTCACCTCCTGAGGATCATTCTCCAGCTTCAAACCATCCCCTCGTTTCTTGCATTTCCCTTAAAAAGAAGAGTTACAAAAGACAAATGCGTTACACGGGGCAGGGATTCCCAGCATGGGTCTGTCTCCGGGGACAGGCATTCCAGACACGACCTTAAAGCACATCCAACTTCTACCACAAGCAGGCGGAATAAGAGGGGAGGTGGGACGGGCCTTGCTGAGGAAAACCACCTAGTCTGGTCAAGGCAAAGGGGAGTAGAAAATCTGTGGCAGCTTGAACGGAACCCTTCACTTCATGAAGTGAAGAATATGGGTTTGGGGCACTCTCTGACCACAAATGGAGCTGATCTGCTGCACTTTTTGTTGCTTTAGTGCTGAAGAAGCAAAAGATACCGGAGCTGTTACAGCTGGACTGTTCAACTGCTCAACGTCCCTGCTGAGCTCCTGCCCCGAGCTGAAGCGGGCGGCCTTGTAACCAAACGTTTCCCCCGAGCCCCGCGGGCACTTCGGGCTGCCCTACGAGCTGCCCCAAAGGAAGTGTGGGTGGTGACGTGCGAAATGCAGGAGACACTGGAAACGTCCTGCAGAGAACAGCCCTGCCGGGCTGCAGCCACAGACCCATCCACAGGGAGTCGCGGGTCGCTCTTCCACTCACCATCTCCTCTGCAGCGCGCACTAAAGTCCTGTCGGGTTTAAAGGACACCTTTCTGGTCCTGAGCAAAGTGACCTCACAGAAAATGCTCTTCTTTTAAATGGTGAAAAACTATTTAACTTCAAATATAAAAGTAACAAAAATTTCAAAAACAAAGCGGCCACGTGTGCCCCACAGGCACATCAGTAACGCAGAAAGGGATCGAACCCCAACAGTAAGCCAAAATCCAGGCTCTATTTCTTTTTCCTTTAGCTTGGCACCCTGGCATGCCAGCACAGTGCCAGGTAGCTGGGGGAAGGTGGCCATGCCTCTGAATGCCCTTGCAGCACATTGCTCCCAGCAACACCTCGCCAGCCGCAGCGGCTCCTCGAGAAGAGCCGCTCCTCTCAGCAAAAGGAGAGCTGAACATACACAGACCGTGCTGCTAAAACAGCCAGCCCCTCCAAACAGGCTCTAAGGAGCTGCATGCTGAAGCTTCCCCCCGGGTTTTTACAGCTTCAATAAGCGCTGCAGAAGTTGAGGTACTGACAATTTAAAGCACCCATGGTCCCAGGCTCAGCAGCCATGGAAAGGAGGCAGCGTTGGAGACCTTGGAAAGGAGGTTTCAGCCTCCCTGGGGCCGGGGCATTTCGCCAGTCCCGCTGCACCCGTGTTGCCCGGCCTCAAAGGCGGCAGCACCTCTGCAGCGGGCAGAGCACAGCCAGGGAACGTGGACCTGGCACCAGCTGAGGGGCAGCTGGCCAACGCCACCCATTTGGGGGTGTTCACCAGGCTCCCAGGAGCGTCAGGAAGCAGGAACGGGCACATCTGTCACCCAGCACCCAATGAGTCTAGGGAGGACACACTGGGAACAACTTGCAGCCCTGAGTGTTGTTCAAACTCGCTACGTGCAGTGATTCCCAGGGCTTTACCAAACGATTTGCACTGCAGAGCCCTGCAAGGCCTAGAGTCATATTTTACAGACCTCAAATACCTTCCAGGTGTTCGAGACAGCAAGTAAGGACTATACTTCTGAACTCTGCTCTGTAATTTTCTAGCCCAAATACTGGCAAATTAAATAAATTGCAATGGGACGGCAAAGATCTCAAATGCCTCCTTGTTAACTCCTAGAAACTCCTCATCCCAGACAGAATGTGTGTAACTGCTTGGATGGGCCCACAGCACACCTCCATTGACTCTTTAATAAACTATTTACAAACTGGGGGACAAAAAAATCCTTCTTTGACTATTCATGTTCATTAAATGAGTTGGAGTGGCTACCTGCAAAATTCATAGCTCTAGTAAATAAAAGGCAACAAAGAAGAAAGTGTTTCCTTCTTTTTGCAGGCAGGTCATGGGTAAACGGCGACAAAATAGAAAGTCATTCTGGAAAGTTGAAATGCTGTAGGGCTTTCCTGCTTAGAGGAAATTTATACTAGTTATTCATACCAAGCAGTTTTTGCTGTTAGCAATAATTAGGGAGATGGTTACACTTCTCCTGCTGTACTTTGCAACCCACATTCAGTATGATGGTCAAGCTGATCACCTGTTAGCTGTGAAGCAGTCAGTGTCAGCTTAAAAAAAAAGACAAAAGTTTGGGGCATTTTCTTGAAAAAACAGCTGTGTCACAATGTTCAGGCTGGGCAGTCCTGGCACAGCAGCAATGCAAGGACTGCACAAAACAGCAGTAGATTTTAGCCCTGAATTCCCAGACACTTTCAATGTCATTGCAAAACCACACGTTTCTAAAACATGTGCAGCTCTGCTGTCATCTTACTGTTGACAGCGGAAAACAGCAGCCATCCTCACCCTGATTTTTCCACTTTCTTGCAGTATTTCCCTCCTGAGGCTCAAGGGGGGACTCTGGTTTTCCCTGGAGCGATGGCAGGGGTGGCAGCTGCAGCCGCTCCCCCTTCGAGCCAGCGGGACTTGTTTGGCTCCTCCGAATCACAGGATCTCACTATTTCTCCAGTTGCTGATAAATTATGCTGGACTTGACCTGAATTTCTAGTACTAAAACAGAAACCCAAACAACCACAAATACCACAAATACTCAGCCAAGACTCCTCAGCGTTGACAGATCTCTCTCATCCTGAGTAATCACAGCGGCCTGCGAGCACGGACATATTTACAGCTCTGAAACAGGACACACGACCCGCGGCCCTTGCCCTGTTTATGCTGTTGAGCATCACTTCAAAATACCTCTCAGTGCTCTAGATACACGTAGCTCATCACTGCTGCAAAGGAGGTCACGTGTGAGGCAGCGGCGGAGCTGGAAAGCGCATGTGTGCACATACTCCTGCACAGGGCCTATTTTGGGAAGCAGAGCTGCACGATGGGCCCGATGAAGACGTGATACATGTAGCAAAAAGATGCGGTTCCGGCTTTAAAGGCAGGCGTGTGATGAAGAGTGAGCAACCTAGATGATATGATCGAGGTGGTGTTTTTTAAGGCTACACGAGGTACATTGAGGCCTGGGAGCCTCAATCAGAAAACAAGGCTCTTCGTGTGCTGTTTGACCAATGCTGATAACTCCTTATTCTCGGGGGTGGCAGCAGCTGAAATCAAATTACCTTCTAGTAGTGCCCTAAATTCTACAGGAATTTCTTTGCTCCTCGATGCCAGAAGACTGGTCAGCACTTGAAAAGGCTTAGGTTATTTTAGGAGCCACAGAAAAGGAAAAAATGTGACTTGATCCCTTCAGTTGGTGCCTGGGGACAGATGAGCCCAAACAGCAGATGTTACAAGTGAGACCTTAAGTCCTGAATCACCTGAATTCCAAGCACCTCATTTCATTTCACTCCTTTGCACTGAGGATCTGCTCTGGTTTTATGGCCCGCATCAGTTACACAATGCACTGCAAAGCAGAAAGATGAGTCAGGACTGTGACTCTTGCGGACAGGTATCTTTTCTCCGCACTGTTAGTGCCAAGGGCAGCAAAGGACCACACGTCTTGGACAAAATCGAATACAATCTACAGTTGGTGACAAGCCCTCACTAAGATTTTAATGAATGGCGTCATCGTGGAGCGAGCCACGCTCGGAGCGTGGCCAAGGAGCCCTGCAAGGTGCAGATAGGGCCGTGCTCCAGCAGCCCTGCACGCGGCACAGAGAAGGGGAAGGACGTCGGGGTGAGCATGCCCTCCTGCTTCCCTGCATTTACTGCCTTAGCAATTAATGCTTTCAACTTTCCCCCTCGCTTCCAGATGAGCAGCTGCATCCTGAACAAAGAACAGCGGGTCGCCAGCCAGGCAGGGCCAAAACGCTGTTCCCAGTGTTCCTAAAACAGCTGGGGGGAACCAAAGCTGCAGAACCCACCAGGAGGCAGAATCACTGCAAAACATGACTTAGTAAAACCACGCTGGACTTCACTGCCAAAATTGCAGTGAGGTTTTCTAGGGCGCAGCAAGAGGAAACTGCCCCAGATTCCCCCGTGCACATGGACGCGGAGACGCGAGGAAGGCAGCTCTGCGCAGCGCGGGGAGCGCGAGCTGCTCTACAAGGCTGAAGTTGAAAACCGCCGTTTATGGCTTTGCTTTTTAGACAGTCCCGCTAAACATCGCCCTCAGTTTCTTGCAAAATAATATCAGGCTTTCAATACACACTTTCACTTTAGTTAAATACATTTCTCAATTCTTTCAAAATGAGTGAAACTCTGGTTAAAATAAATTTAGCCTGGAAGCAGCGTATGTCGAAATGCATATTGAGAACACGCATTTTTGCGGTTTCCAATCCAGCCTAACGAATGCAGCATGCCTCCCGACTCTAAATACGCCAGGATCAGCCGGGATCTCGCAGGAAAGGCCAGGAGGAGGGTCAGATTTTATCAGCACTACGCGGCAGCAGCACTGGACACAGTCTAGGCTAGGGTGGTGTCACTCTCACCAAGCGCATCACACAGGAGGATTTTTTGTCCTAAGCATACAGAAAGAAGAACAAAACTGTCATGAGATAACGTTAAGATGAAACTCAGATATGAAACAAGTTCCTAATGGTTAATTGGCACATTTTTGCAAGCTGTATTTATCAAGGATGTGCAAAGTGCATCACTGGGAAACGATTTGATTTTGTTTGATCGTGATAATCTGAATTTTTACAGTGCATTGATTGCATACGTAAATTACATAAAAAGGACGTGTCTGTGGTCCATAACTAGGGCTCTTAACAGACTAGGGTTTATCTCAAATATGAAGTGAAGAGAAACAGTCCCAGATTTCAGATTTAAATTTTGACAGTGGGACATGGATCAGAAGAACCATTATCAACATCTGCACATACCAAATGTGATCTGTTCTGTCAAAAGAGAAAAAGGAGGAAAAAAAAAGAAGAAAAAAAAAAAGACAAGTCTCTGTATTTTAGACCATGATTCTGCTCAGAGAAGCTATTCACAGAAATAAGCGTTGGAAACACGTGATTCCCAAATCAACTCTCAATTCATACCCAAGTTGCAAGGCAGTGAGAAAACAGATGGTGTTCTGCAGCCCTGCACATGTTTTCCTAGGATCTGGAAGACAAACCCAAACCCACCTAACTTCAGCAGCAATCCTGGTCTAAGGCAGGTTTTAGATACACTGTAAAAGATGGGTGGTTTAAAAGGGAAGGGGAAAAATAAAAAAACTAAGTCACCCATGATTTTATATTAAAACTTCTAACTCAGGTCTAACCTAAAATCTCCATTATGAACCTGACCTAGAGCTGTTATCTTTCACCATCTTTCCACTGTTACTATTTTTAATATGACTTAGCCACATGCACACACACAGAAAAACTTTCTCCCTTTCTCACACTCCCCATCTCCCTTTTCTTTCATGCTAATGAATTTAAGTTGCTAAAGCAGCACACAAACACAGTCCACTTCCCCTACAGTCCTGCTGGGGTTATGGGTGCCAGCACAGGTACTAGTTAAGCCTGCAGAAAGGGTAACAACACGAAAGTTATATTAAAAAATAAAATAAAATATCAAGCTTCCATATGTAGTCGTCAGATTTGACCACAAGGAACTCAAGCAAGGAGCAAACCTGCAGAGTTAGAAGTGCTCGTTCATAAAGTCTGAACCCCAACATCTGCACTGCGTTCAACTGTGCCTTCAGAGATGTCTATTGTTGTTAGGAAACAGCACTTTATTACCTGACAAAAAGTGGAAACTAATGGAAAAAAAGCGTATTAAACCATCTTAAAATGTTCCTCAGCTAAACATTTAGAAAAGATTTAGGATTAAAAATATTGCATTCTGTTCTAACTGGATTTAAGTAATTAACTTTTCTTTTATCCTTCCCTCCCGTGTACATCAATCACTGGTGATAACGTTTTATGAATTTAACAATATTGGTGCTTTCAAAAACAGCTCAGCAAGAAGTTTTAGGAACCAAACAAAGAACTCAGTAGCTGTCCAAACGTTTATAAAAATATAAAGGGGAAGAAAGGGACTTTATTATGCAGTTCAAACAATTTAAAGACACAAAGAAGCAGGCTACTGCATTCATCACAGAGCATACGAAATAACAGAAGTCATTCAGGCTTCTGAATTCTGGGTTTCATCTGAAGGTCAAATTGAAAAAAAAAAAAAAAAAGATTCCCGTCTAGGAGACTCCTCCCCTCTATTATTATCTCTATTATTATTTCTGAAGAAAGTGCAAGTAAATAGGTATTTCTGAATTTCACTTAAACTCCAAATTAAAAAGTCCAAATAATCTGCATTAAAAAGGAAGTTTTAAGGAAGTTATAGATCTTACCTTTGTCGACTACATCCCAGACTTCAACCTTAATGATATCATCGGTGGCTAAAAGCACAAAAAGAACAAAAAATGTTAGAAAGAGCATTTCAGCAAGATGGAGCAGACCTGCCCTCCACTACTCAACACCTAACCCAAAGCAAATAGTGCCAAAGTAACAACAATGTCAAAGGAAAGCTAACAAAACGCCCAGCGACTTAGAAAACAGAAACAAAACACAATTTAAAGAAGGCCTGCCATGAAAGAACCAAGATGTACCCCCAAACTGCGCTCTGTAAAGAACTTCTTCAAAATTATTAGTCCCATAAGTGATATTGTTAGATTGCCTTCTAATTTACACCAGATTTGGAGCACATTATAAAAATTACACTTGAAGTCTTTATCTAATACACATAGAGGTTTCCACGTTCTTCTTTCAGAATAGCTGTAAATTGTATTTGGAGAATAAAGCCTAGTCTAGAAGTAACATGGGCAATTGAAAACAAGCAAATACAAATATTTAAGGAAGAACAACTATATTAATATTTCTATATTAGTTTGACAAACGGAGTGGATGTTCCTGCGGTTACAGAAATCTACTCTTTGCAAATTTTTCATTGCTTTGTCTTACTCTTCTGACAAAACTAAGGTATTGCTAGCAACTTTGCCTGAAAAAGACCCAGAGCCAAGGATAAAAAGGCAGAAATTTGGGATTTAAGTTGCAAAAGCCTAAAGCAAGACAAGCAAAATGTTAACTGGAAAAAAAAACCCACAAACACAAACAAACTACTGCTGGTGGGCAGCAGTTTAACTTCAGGCTCTACGCAGAATAAATCAACTGAAGCTGCTCATTGAATCTGAGCAGGTGGTCTCATCTTCACAGGGTTGTTCCAAGAAACAGCTGCTTTTAGGACATGATAAGAGGTACAAAACAAAAGCTTGTACTTGGGGGAACTCTGAAGAGAACCCATGCAGTAAGATGACAAGAGCCCAAGGTAGAAAATAATCCTTTATCACAGCATTGCTGAAGAGAGCTAGTGTCATTGCCAAGCCAGGACACATTTCTAATATGGAATCTACCACCGGCTTTAGAACATTTCAAAATTCTGCAGACGGATGAAAAGCCAGAAAGTTTCATGCACGTCCTGGGAAGGATCTTATTTTAGTCACGTGTAAAGCCCCATCGCAGGGTCACTCACAGCGACTCTACCCAAACCCCCGCTTTGCCGCGGGGCCGAAGACGACGCGGGCGCTCGCGCGGGGTCGCAGGGCCTGCGTTAACCACGGCGCTCCGCCGGCTCCCTCCGGCCCTGGGTGCTTCTCCAGGCCACCACAGGGCGTTCGCCCAGGCCTGCAGCACGGCCGCTCCCCGTTCCTCACACGACGGCGTCCAGCCGGGCGGACAGGTACCCGCACACGGCTCCGCTCTCTGACTGGGGTGCTCAAGCCCTCGGTGTGTCCTCTGGGCCAGGCACCCTCCTTAAGTTCTGGGCCCAAATTTACACCCCGTAACAGTGACTGGCAGCGCTGTGGCTGTCCCACAAGCACAAGGGGACAGACAGTCCAGCTAACTCGGCCTTTGCTCCTCTCAGCAGCCAGCACGTTGTGCAAGGTGCCAGGAGACACGTTCTCTGTGTCTCATGCAGCACCACGTGCACGGGAGGGACCAAGAAAGCAGTTTGCTCCTTCTGGATGCTTCATGCAAAGAAGCAGATAACTTGTAGGAAGGAGTTTCTCTGGAAGAGCTGGAATGTGCAGTGCCCTCCTAGGTGGTGGCCTGGCACCTGACACTGGAACTTTGCTCCCAAGCTCCAGTGATCTCCACCTCCTTACCCTAACACCAGCGCACCCTCCGCTGGGCCTTGCCCTCCCAGGGAGTCATTTGCGCAGCGCTGAAGTCCTGCGGGGCAGCACAGTTCTGCACGGCCGGGGAGCGGAAGGGTTTGATGTAGAGAGACCTGCTCTATCCTTTTAGATAAGGGGAAGTACAGAACTTAGCAAAGAACTTAACTACACAAGACCCAAGGAAACTGTTTTTCCACGTTTTATTTCCCCCCTTGCCCCTGTTAGGAACAGTGTTGTTGATAGCTACTAGACAGATTCTTCCTTTTCATCAGCAGCTTCATTCCTGCCTATCTTGAACACACAAGAGGATAATTACTTCAGTGCTGCTGCGTTAGCTGTCTTATGACTCACGCACAGCTGTACGAGCAGCATTTCACCTCAATGGCTTCTGAAGGCGTGTCGCAAAAAAGAGAGTGCCAATTCATCATTTTATTCTATAGCTTGGATTAACTGAGACCCATTGCACAGATAAAACTGCTGAGAAACTTCTGCTCCACTGCTACGTGGTCTGTAGCCTGTTGCAAATCAGACACTGTTTTCCTGGAAAACAGCAGAGAAGTGAAAAGGCTCCATTTGCAAGGGAGATTTTTTTAAAAATAATAATTTTAAAAGATTAATAATATTTTAAAAAAACCTACATGGGTGGTTTTGTAATAAAAATTACGATTCTCAGACATACTTATTCTCATACTTACATGATTCATCTCAGTTTGGCTCACAAATCCAACAGAGAGGAGCAGCTCTGTCATTCCACATGCTTGTCTACAGAGCTCTCAAAGTATCCTGAACAAAACTACTTGATGGTTTTTACTTCAGCTTCCCTTTCTTACACTGCCAGAAGGAGAATAAAATTTATGACTACCATAACAACTATACATCAGTCTGAAATGGTAGCCTCCCACCTAGACACAAGTTTTTAAAAAATCCCGTAACAAAGACGTTTGGCTCAGAACAGTAATTTTGTTCATTTTGAGCAGCAAAAGGCTCAGGCTCCTTTAACTTTAATAAATCCTTCAATAGAATAATCCTGAAGGTATGACAAGGGGAAAGTTCTAGATTTAAAAGTTCATTTTCTAACACCAGCCAATACAAGAATTCTTGAACATTTGACAGCAATTTAATTAATATCTGTAAATATTTGCTGCCAGCTGCCTTATAATGTTTATTCAAGCTAGCTCAAGAGCAGGATCACAGGCAAAATAAACTTTCTTTTTCCTCTCCAGATTAGCTCAGCCAACAGGTCAGTAATTAGATCTGAGCCGGTTTCCCACCCACGTCATCTGTCTTGGATGGGAAGTTTTCCCAGCAGGAGCAGTACCCTACAGAGCTGTTCAAGGAGGGTTATTTTATAAGTTTTTAAGGCGGTCAGTCAGCAATTTCCTGTACTACTGGAAATTGCTAGTAAGAAAATAATAAAGTTTCCTAAGGTGACAGAAACTAGAAGCAAAAGGCACAATTTCATGTACAGTCTGCTGAACATTCTGAGTAGTTTGGCAACACTTTACCTAGGAAAACTTTGAGGAAAGCCCACCACCACACACAGACGTTGCTGGCAACGCTAACCAGCAAGCCCTACGAAAATGCAGCACATAAACGTTAGCACCAGGCACCAGAAATAACAAACCTGCAATTACCAACGTGCAGCAAAGCCAGCCTCACGTCTAGCTGCTTTCTACCCTGGGATCACATCCCTGTCGAAAAAGTTGGTGCCTTAGTCTCAGCTCAGTCAAAGGAAACACAGTCCCCAAAACATGTAGAACCATGTGAGATGACCAGATCTTTCCACACTTGTAACAGACTTCCCAACACCTTTCTGCATCTAACTGTCCATGTGCACAAAGCAGCTAGGTATGAATTAGCCTGTTAAAAAATATACACATATAGCAACCAAACGTCAAATTCTAGTGCTGTATTTACAAGCAATGCTTATATTACAGGCATTGAAAAGAAAGAAAACTAAACATTTAAGTTTTTAAACTATGATAGCACAGAAAAACCTCAGTTAAGATTCAGAATGCTCTTTACATTTTGATACCTGAGAAAGAAGTATCCCAGACTTTTATCTAAGTCTGTTAAGGCTGAAGCATTCAATTTTGCTTGTGGAGATGCTTTCCCTAGTGGGAGCAATTTCCAAGCTCTCCCTTCACATCAGTAGTGGATGTGCCCATATTCCAAGAGAGGAAGGAGAGTGGGAAGGATGTCACAGCTAAAATGCAACACACCAGACGTGTCACTGCAGATGGGGAACACTGCAGGAATAATGCAGATCTGCCAATGTCTTGGGCCAGACAGAGCAGCAGGAAGATGGTGCCCCAAAATGAAGGTGTTTTATGGAGAAATTTTGAAGGCAGCGAGGAGACCTTTGCACCATCCCAATACAGACAGTCCCTGCCAGCACAAGGCATAGCTCAAGGCCAGACCCAAACCTCTTCCTTCACATCCAAAGTGCACCATAGCTAGCCATTATTATATTTTTTTCAACCTTTATCAAGGAAAAGGAGACTAATGTGGAAGTCTGTCTTCAAAAAGGAATGAGCCTCCCACACTTTGACTACCGGCACCTTGTGATCCTGCAATAGCAGCACGTGCTCCAACAGACACCAGAGAGGAGCCCCGAGGCAGCCTGCTCGCCAACACCTCCTGCAGCTCCGTCGTCGTTCACAGAACACTTGTGCAGCACAGGAATCACTTGGCAATACAGATTTGATCACTGAAGCTGCAAAAGCACCTGGTACAGCATTTACCTCAGCTTTATGCTGCTATTCTAGTTGTGGGGACACAGAGAGTACATAATTCAGCATAAAATCAGAGTGGCTTGGGGAGACAGCACTTGATAGGACAAACTTAAACTGCTGTCTTTTTTTTAAGCAAAATCAGACTTACAGAGAAAGTTCATGCTGAGTCAGTACTTCAGCCCACAAGGCTTGGCATTTTTCACGAGGAACCTGAAAGCTGCATTTATCGCACTGCAGAACCACAGCCTTGGGCAAGTTCAAGGCCTGCAGAGTCTTCTCCAGGCTAGATCCAGGGATTTCAGAGCCACTTTAAACTGCCACAGCAGATGGGAAAAATCACATCTCATCTCTCAAAGTGAAAGAAGCCCTTTAAAAAGCTTACAAGATACTTCTGTAACTCAATCTAGAGTTATATTGCTACAACCACTTTTAAAACATCATTTTTATCATTTGCTGGATGCTATTTATATTTTGATTAGACAGTGAAAGACAAGAGTGCACCATGTTGTTCACTTGTGCACAACAGTAACACCAGGCACAGTTAAACTCAGAGGCAGATTTCCATAACAAACATATTTCCACAGGTCAAGCATATCAGAAATATTTCAGCTTTTATTTTGGATGACCTATGAAAAACCTTCCCAGGATGACAACTTCCAATGGAATATCCTTTAGGACTTAAGACATACAGTATTTGAATGAAGTTATTAAAAACACAATTGAAAAACTGTCAATAACAAAAATAACTTGAGTGCTGAGACCCCTTTTGTCTCCCAAACAGACACAGAACAAGAGGCAAATGAGGCTGCAGTAGTACTTGTATCTCCAGGCACAGACAACTGCTGCATGGCTGTCACTCCCTCCATCCCTCTCCTTTCTTACTTTTATAGTTCCAGTGGATGCTGGTGACTTGGATCTCCTGAGTTGGAATATACTCCTCAATAAATTTCTTCCCCTGCAGTCGGTGCCAGAGCGTGGTTTTCCCAGTATTCCTGTCCCCTCGGATAACAATTTTCACTGAGGAAAAGAGCAAGCAAATAAATAAAACTGATTAAAACAAAGCTAGGAAGGCTTGGAAAAGCATGTTAACGTTTTGCAAGTGTTATTCAGATGTAATTAATTCTCTTGCATTACAAGGCATGATGGTTTGCTAAAACAAACAAACAAAGAAATCAAAACCAAGCAGCTTAGTTGTTAAAATTACCATTCATTCAGCTACTCAAACCAGCTCAGCAGAAAGAACCAAAGCCAAGACTGAGCCCTCAGGACCCTGCACAGCTGTAGCCACCGAAGTGTCTGCTCTTTTCTGCTCGCTTCTCCTCCTCCTGCTGTCTCTCACCTGTACCAAGCCCTTATTCTGACTTTGTCAAGCCCTATCCTTTTGCAAGGCTTCAATATTAGGCTTCTCCTTCAATTATGTCCTCCACCACCCTTATTTCTCCTTAAATGCTGCTCTTTCCTAGAGGAAACATTTTTCCTAGTCTGTTGCTTGCTGTCACTCACAGCTCAAGGATCAGTTCTTAGCTGACCTAAGCTAGACAGGGCCTTACTGCAGGGTTCAGCTGTCACCACTCGTGGCTGCCCCAGCTTTGTTTGCGCTGGGACAACGCGCTGCTTCCCAGGGGAAGCAGGGGACACCAGGTACCGCTCTGCACTGCTCCAGAGCACGGCTCCGGCGAGGAGGCAGTCCCCAAGGAACACGCTCACTGCCACAGGGACAAGGTGAGTAACATCCACAGGTCTCCCTCAAAGCAGTGAATCCACACAGGATCACCTGCACTACTGCCACGAAGTGCACTCAACCCAGGAAAGCAAATTCTGTAGCAACCAGTACCACGGACTTACTAGAGTCTACCTAAAATCACCTTGTTCTTTTCGAAAACAGCAAGTACCGTTTTCTATGGTTTCTGCTGTGTTACATACACGTGGGCATACACACACCCTATCTTTAAGTAGCAATAACAAAGCTATTGGGGGTTGTGCAGCTGACCTGGGCAGACGCAGAAATTTTACACTTGCATTTGAACACAGGAGTCATCCCCCTAAAATGGGCTGCTCCGACATCTACTAGTAGGTTCAAACCATTAGGACCAGGCTAGGCATCATCACTTATGGAACTAGGAAACTTAGAAACCTAAGGAAAAATTTCTTAACAGTGAGGGTGACAGAGCACTGGGACAGGCTGCCCAGAGAGGGTGTGGAGTCTCCTTCTCTGGAGATCTTCAAAACCCGCTTGGACGCAGTCCTGTGCCACGTGCTCTAGGTGACCCTGCATGTGCAGGGAGTTGGACTAGATGATCTCCAGAGGTCCATTCCAACCTTCAGCATTCTGTGATTCTATGACTTTGGCCCAGCGGTCTCAGGCTCAAGGCCGTCTGTTGTTGCATCTCCAGAGTTTTCATAGGCATCTCCAAAATGAAGCAAGACAAGCAGGACCACCACACCACTTCAGGAGAAGTTTGTTAATAGCAAGAGTGCCTGACGTGTGTAAGAAGTTATATGGAAGAGTTTTGCCTGGTACAATTTTGTGTTGCAGTTGTGCTCTGTTTTTGTTGCTGTTCTGCTCTCTCCCACTAAGATGTACTGCTGTTTATTCTTTTTTTTTAATAGCGAAGCAATAATCAAGGCAAAAATTAGCAAAATATTTATATGCTGACTTTATTTACAAGTACCAGAACATCTCTGCAGACAGCAAAGCATCTGCATTTCCTATTGTGCCTTGTGGAATGCCAAAGACTTCCTTGGACTTTTCTTAATGCATCAAGTCCACAGCATAGTTAGGATAAGAACCTGTGCTCCTTAAAACCTGAGTCCTTTGCAATGCTCTCACATTGCTTAGCTTAAAAAGACATTTTAAAATTCGCACTCCCCCCTGCATTACATGGAGTAACATTATCTACTAAAACAGGGAAATCCACGAGACAAACGGGCTCTTCAGCATTTACCCTGGCTGCTTCTCAAGGTGCAGTTCCAGACGAGCCATCTCCAGAAGAGGCAGATCTCACACACCCCAGGAGCTTTCCCCCACCAACGCTACTACTTGTGCAGTGACATGTGGAGCTGGGTCAGGGCACTGAACTGGCTGAAACCTGAACCCTGAATTCCTTTTCCACAACACTTATTTCCCACCGCAGCTCAAGGTGGAGCTGCAGCAGCCCAGTGTGGCACTCCAGGAACAGGGGCATCACCTGCCCCTGCGAGCAGCTCACACTTAGAGCAACACACGCTCCGTTCGGACATGCCGTACCGCCCTTTTCACCTTCCGCGTTTCCCACGTTAGGATGTCTTTTCTTCTAGACAGTTCAACAGCTTTCACTGATTTTTTCCTGAAGAAAGAAAAGGCCTTTAAAAACAAAGGAGGAAGAACACAGGTCATATAAATCATTTGTAGCAAAATAAAAATAAAATGTATTTGGGACTTTGAGCAAGTCTACCCATGGACAGGCACTTTAAGAGACTAAAAACTGGGTGAGCTTCAGAGCAGAGCAAGCACCAGGCAAAGCACCTGATGTTCATCGTGCTCATCACACTGCTGTTTACCACGGGGACACGAGCCCGTGGGACACGGCAGGCTCTGCTCCGCGACGCGCGCTCTGGACAGCGCTTGGCGACAAGAACCGGGCAGGCAGAGCACGACCTGCGGAGCAGAGCAGCTAGACCTGAACCTCCAGCAGCTCCGTGTCTTTGCTGTCGCTTGTCACCAACAGGGAGCTCCCAGGAAACGCTCCCGCCTGCACAACCCGGCAGAACTGTTTATTTCCCAGTTCTTAGGTGATCATTCCCTCGTATGACCTCCACGTTCAAGGGACCTGCTGCTTCTGGAACCTGTTAAGATACTTTAAACAAACACTGCTGCCAAAGGAACGAGATCTACCTGCCCTTCTCTGCCCATTCCCCCTTGCTCTGCCCTGTGCTACCCTCCTGGGGCCAGCATGGCCACGAGACAGCTGGTACAGCCAACCTCACCTGGGGCCAGGCTACCCCAGCCAGGAGAGAAGCAGCGAGTTTTAACAGGTCTGTTCCCTCTGCCAGGAACAAAAACATCTCAGCCACCACAAACGTGGCATGGACCATTTTTATTCCCTGTACTTGCTATAGTACTCAGGCAGCTCCTGCATTTTGTGGACACGTATGGCAGAAGATCTGCATGCATGTGACGGAGAGAGGAAACGCGCAGCGCGCGTGGGGAGCGCAGGACAAAAACCGCTTTCTGCTTGGATGTCTCGTGCTAAGGAAGTGGCTGCTACCAAGGGCTATTACTGGCCTTACCTCCCATCAGAGATGTAAACGTACTCATCCTGCTAGTTTTCCTTTTGAAAACTTGACTGAGGGAAGGGAGCCCATCAACACAAAATATTTTGGTTCAATTTGATTACAGGAGCAAATTCCCCACCACTTATACGCCTCTTTGCCACTAAAACAGCACCCAGTCGTTGTTATCACCTCAAATAGCAGTTTGTTTTGTTAGGAAACATACTTGAAAGCTGCGCAGGCCAGCACAGCACAGCAAGCAACCCAAGGCAATCTCCAAGCATTTCTGATAAGCAAACCTGCCTCGATTCACGACCAGTAAAAATATCTGTGCAACTACAGAAAAAAAAAAGGTTTTACAGATAGGTGTATTAAAGAGGACTACAAAAAGCATTTTACATGAAATTCAACAGGGGTGTGTATTTGCTAAAAAAGATGCACTCACAGGATTTGCAGCTCTGCCATCCCCTTGGCAATGACCTTTGTACGTGATGTTTCCTCACAGCCTACATCCAGTTGAGGCTATAACCTCAAAACGCTGGAATCCTGTTTGTCAACAGCCATGGCTGTGGAGGGTACTTCAAACCCTTCCTAAGACTGCCTGTATCTCCTATAAATATTACATAACAGCAACACAGGGAAGAGTTACTATGGAGATTGGAAAGCTTCCTTCAAGGCAGTGACAGAAATCTGCAGTTTTACTGTAGATATAAAAGCAGTAATTAGAACACAAATCCTGTCAAAGACAAGGTAAGAGACAAAAAGCTTTCCCGAGGCTTTCGGGAATGAGACAGAAAGCAACCAAGCAAGTGTTTGCAGCTCCGCTGCTTGGGTTGCTGGCCCTGCTGCATTAATAAGCAGGTATCATACACACAGGTCAGCCAACCATGCAGGCAGCCACCGCACAGCAAAGAGCTCCCCCTCGCACTCCTGTGCCAGCAAGATGCAGCTGATCTTCATTGCATGTAGCACAAACATTCGCCACCACAACAACCAACTTTCAACTCACAAAAGCGGGAGTTGACGTGAGCTACCTGATCTTAAGCATTTAGCAGTGAAGCACACGAGCGTGTCCCGGTTTGCAGCCTCCACAAGGTCTCCGCAGGGATCAACACTCTTTAACCAGCACGTTTCCAGGTTGATGATGCAGTGCTATACGCCAGGCTGTGACAGTTTCACCCTCACCCTTCATCTTCCATTAGGAATCTAGTCCCTTAACAGTATCATTGTGTTTCTGCTCATATTCCTAACTATCTATTAAGATGCTGCTTTCTAAATTAAGCACTATTCTTAGCATTTTAACAGATGCGATCTGGATAAATGCACCAAATGTTCTCCCTGCTAGAGTACAGAGCTTCAGAAAAACATCAATTCCAAAGCAAACCACCATGATAACACTAAAAATCCTTATCCAAACTCTGAGATGTTGAATTCTCCTTTCCAGTAGAGTTTCAGATTACGATAGAGCATAATCTCTATTCCCCCAGTCTGTGTGCCTTAAGAGAAACTATTCTGCAGTGCATTTACAAACCAGTCTGGCTGCAAACTGCTGATCTCAGTCTGCTGCAGTCCCCCTTCCCTGCCTGCACAGACCCATGCAGACAAGCTAATACTTGCAGAGCTCTGTGTTAGCAACTCTATTTTCAGAGAGGATGACATAAATACCATCCCCTGTATCACGACTGTTACTGTGGGATGCATTTCTACTGCTTACAGCACCTTTCTGAAACACTATATTAGAAATAACCTTTACTGAACTTCAATGAAAAAAAAAAACACCACGCAGCCCTGAACCTTAGCGCAAAAAGGTAAGTAATTTTGAAAGTGCTCAAAAAGAAAAGAAAAGAAAAAGGCGCAGATGTATCAGTTTTAGAAGCAAATAGTCATAACCAAATTACGTGTCAAGGTAGTTACAGGGCACACATCCCTCACCCTTTACGAGAGCGGGGTGCAGCAGAGCTTTTCCACCGCCCCTTCTCACGGCACCGTTGGCACCCGGCGGCGAGGGCCGTGCCCGGGGCCGCGGAGGGGTCACCCAGGCGCCCGGGGGAGTTACCTGCCCGGGGCTCTGAGGGGCTCGA